GATTACATTCTTCCAGTTGTGCTTCCATTCTCACTATCCCTTTCCAAATTATTCCATCACCGTTATCTTCAACTCACTGCCCCCTAAGCCTCCCATCAAACCCCCTGAGTTGCTGTTGTCAATTTGATCTCACACAGATAATCCTTTTTTTTCTTTTTGTACTTTAGATGAAGGTTTACAGAACAAATAGTTTCTTATTAAACAGTTAGTACACATATTGTCCTATGACAATGGTTAACAACCCCACAACATGTCAACACTGTCCTTCTCAACCTTGGGTTCCCTATCACCAGTTTTCCTGTCCCTTCCTGCCTTCTAGTCCTTGTCCCTGGATGGCTGTGCTTCATTAGTCCCGTTTTGTTTTATGGGGCTCCCTGCTGTTTTTACAAGTTTTTTACACATCCCACCTGTGTCCTAGAACAGAACAAAAGCAAATTATAGACAAATGGCAAAATGGCAGCTGCCCACTGCTCTGACTTTTACCTCAAACAGTCCCCAACTTGCTTGCAGGGCTTCTGGAACCAAACAGCAGCTGACTACAGGGCTGGGGAAAGAGGCTACTGCCATGTAAAGTGGAGGAGAGGAAAAGGTGAGTGAATTGCAACCAGACTGGATCTTAAAAAACTCATCCAATCCAATCCTGTCGTTTCATATATAAAAAATCGAGGCCTAGTCAAAAAGAATCACTCCCAATACCCAATCCACCCAAAACACCACAGGTTAACACTGTGGTTAAAAGCTCAGACTCTAGAGTTGGTGTTATCTTGGGCAAGTTACTTAACCTCTCTATGCCTAAATTTCCTGATCTGTAAAAGGAATGAGACTAACAATAATACCTGTTATAAGGATTAAATGAGATACTGCATGCAAAGAGTTCAGAACAGCATACACTAAAGGTTTAAGAAATATTAGTTATTTATTATTGTTACTATTAAAAAAAGGGTCAACCTGGCACAGACTATATTTCATAAATGGGAAGATCCCTATATTGGAAATCTAAGGTAAAAACCAACTCAAATTTCCATCTTAAGCCAAAGAGAAGGTTCCAGTCATGTTGGCCTGACAGCTACCTTTCATTCACCTGAAGCCTTGAGTCAGTGGGGGTGTTCTTAAGTCAGAACTTGCATATTTATTTATATGGGAGTTGTTGTACTAGGACACTTATCACTGTCCCCAGCAGTGTTTAAAACTTGATCTATCCCAGATGCAGTGAGGAAGACAGACACCCATGAACAAACTGCCACACCAGGTTAGATGCCACAGAGAAGCACTGAGTGCAACAGGGAAAGAGGAAAAACATATTCTGTCCTCTCTAGAGGGATCTCAGACAGCCTTGTGGAAAACTGAGCAGGCCCCTAAGAATGGACAGAACTTCAACGGACTGAGAAGGGAATTCAAAGAAGCATAAACAAAACATGTATGAGTCAAGTCAAGGAATGGAGTGGAATGAGCCTTGACATGGAAGTTAGAAAATCTACATTGAGGTCCTAGCTGAGTGACCCTAGAGAACTTGCTAAGTACACTCTGGGCCTCATTTTTCTCAGCTCAGGATAGTATCATCCTCATATGGTGTTTCTATGATACTCCTGTACAAGTGCTTTGTAACATACAATGAATTATGTAAATATAAGGAAGATTTTCCTCTAGAGTCAGGCTCAGCCTCAACTTCTTATTAATTATATTCTAGAATGTCAACACTAGTTCTCAAAATGACTTTCTTTGATTCGAATTCTTTAAAAGGTCCCAGTACAGAAAGAAATTATGAAAAAAGATCCTATAAATCATATTCAACCAGACCATTGCTCAAAAGTGAAGAGTTTGAGGTGTCAAAAGTTGAGGAAGCATTTCCCAAAAGGAAGGGACAAGATGAGAGTAGTAGGTTCCTTCTAGATTTTGCCTGAGAAGAGACAAAGGATGATGGGCCCTTTCACTTAATTTAACAGGAATTCTAGAATATTTTGGAGATTTTCCATGTAAGGCTTTGAGGAGGAGGACTGTAGTGAATTCTGATCTACTATACAAGGACCTTTGCCCTAAAAATGATCATTGTTGTGATCACAATCACTATAGATCTCAAAGAATCCAGGGAACCAAAGCCTAAATTATCAACCAACTCAACAGTGAATTTGATACTTGTTAGAGTTGCTCCTATAAGAATGCAAAACCCATAAGGAAAACAATGGCCTACAGTAAACTTGAGGCCAGATATTAACTTACCTGAAAGTGTAGTTTCCAGGGACGAGCTTACTTAGTTTTAGTATGGCCGTATCTCCAGAAATCTTCTCTTCTCTCAGAGGTCCCTTAAGTTCCTCCCAGTGGTACTGGACGATTTTATCATCATCAGTGCTTTCTTGACCATAAAGAAACATCAGTTACAACATGAGAGCACTGGGTCTCAGTACTTATCCAGCTTACACAAATCAGGACAACTACCCAGAGATCTGAGGCTAGGAAAACTTCATGAAATTACACACTCTCTCTCCAGAGTGTTTCTTCCCTAGGAATACTGGGTCATTCTGCCTCTCTATGAATATTCCACTGCGTAGTTTTCCAAGGACTCCAACATAGGCAATCTCTGGTTAAAATGCTACTGTATGAAAAAAGTAAAATCAATAACTCTTAAACACATGAAAAGATACTCAACCTCACTTAAATGTAAATTAAAATTATACTTGAGATACCATTTTTATTTTATTTCTTTTTATTTTTTATACTTGTAACCATCAAAGAATATTTTCTTCTGTGTTTAAACCTTTTCTTGAGTTCTTACAATAGTAGTCTCATACAATACTTGCCTTTTGCATACCTTTGCCCCTGCAATTCCTATTCTAGGAATTTACCCTACAGATATACTTGCACATGTGTAAAGTGTCATGTTTACAAGATTATTCATGGTAGCATCATTTGTACTAGCAAAAGACTTAAAGTAATCAAAATGGTCATCAAGACATTGATTGAAAACAAAGTATACAATGATACAATGAAATTATATATCCATATAATGGAATGCTATGAAATTGTTTAAAAAAAAAAAAGAATGAAGAGGTATTTCATGTGTTGACTCAGAAAAATTCTTGAACTTACAGAAACAAACAATGTGTATATAAGGAGGATAAAAAAATACACTATATTTTCTTATATATGCATAAAATATCTTTTGAAGGATACAACCAATAATACAATTGGTTGTCTGTCTGGAGGAAAACTGGGTAGCTGGGAAGACAGGGATGGGAGTGATTCTTTTTACTGAATACCTTTACATATTATTTGACTTTGAGTTATTCAAAAAAATAAAATAAAATGATACTATGTGAACCCTTGCTACCACTCTTTCCTGTTCTTTCTCTTCACTCTTCGCCTCCTATTCCCCTAGCCTCCTCTTTGCCAGAAATCACCGACATGAAGTGCTTAATTTTGCTAGAGATTCTCTACTAAAGCAGAGACTGCCTCTGCCAAAAACCACTGTTGGGTGCCAAGACAGTCAGGGTAACAGAGCCTTTATGGGTCTCAAAAGAAATCAAGCAGATACTGGTGAGATGAGGGGCCTGAAACCTCCAGCATACACGTGGCCAGGATTAATGGCAAAGACTCAGAAATCCTCTTTTGTTACCCATCAGATGACATTACTCTGAAGGGTAAAATGTTAATGAGCTCAAGCAGGGGTATGGAGTTCTCTCTATGGGCCTCTCCAGGAGAAGGCTGGCAAGAATATTGTTAAGCAGTGATGGCTGAAGAGACTTCCTTAGTCAGGCCCCTGAATTACTTACCTAGCTATGATAGGAAGGAGCTTTGTTTCTGTAACTGAGAAAGGCAACTCCAGCTAAGCAAATCTGAAAACCAGTGAGCATCAACTAAAATAATGTTAAATACATGCACAATCCCAGAAATACTGCTTCAAACAAGCCACACAAAGGATTTTTAACAGGGCTTGTCTGACTTATTACTTTCTAATCAGTTTCTTCAGATGGCTGGTCTTCCCATAACTTGGGTAAGAATGGCCTAAACGGAATGCAGACATAGCTGGCCCCAAATCTTCTACCAGAGATCTTCTACCAGAGTACACAGAGGGTACTCTGTTGAAACAGCACGCTCGGACAAGTACTCACGGCTGCCATCAATGACTGTAGAAGTGGTTGGTAGAGAGATCTCCTGGAACTGTGGTGACACGATGGCAACAGGAGGCCGGTTCTTCCGGGGCTCTGCAAGGAAGTGACCCAGAAGAAATGAGGAGAAGCGCTTTATAAACTACAGGAAGAACAGACCATATCTGAGTGAATTATGTATCAGTTTCCATTAACATAATTGATGACTGAACCATTCCCAAATGGGAAAATTACCAGACCAGTTGTCATTCCAACTTAAAACAAGTGGGAATGTAAAAAGTCTTCCAAATCTGACCACTCCTAAGACCATGCAGTATGCATTCTTTCAATGCTCATGTGCTATCCAGTCCATGAAAAGTACTATAGCAGCAAGTGACTGCTTTCAGGCAAGCCTGACTAGATGTGGACAACAAAAAAGCTTTGTGTAATAAAGGCCATGGTAAGAAAGCCATTCCTTGGCACAGACTGCACTGAAAAGATAATGGGTGATTTCTCAACCATCCCTAAGCTGTGTGAGAAGATTATGCCTGAGTGAACAAAAGGTCATAAATTACTCTGGTGCAGCCAAATGACTGTGAACTACAACCTCAGCAGCCATTTCTTTAAGAAATGATCTAATGGTCTTCATGCTGTTCACATTTTTAAGAAGGTGAAAAGATTACCTTGGCTATAAAATTCAAGGAATGAAAAGAAAAGCCCTCTACTACCAGCAAAGACAGAAAGCAGTATTAAGAATCTGTGCCAGTTAATGTGCCGCTCTCCAACTTTCCCAAATTTCTCTGAAAATGCAAAACAAGATACCTTACTATTACACTGTGATCTACCAATGGATCATTTAAAAAGAATGACAGAATTTAGTTTCCAAGGTGAAAGAGGACCGGTAGAGTTTGAATGAGGAACTCTGTGTACAAATGCCCATATTTCTGGAAAGAGATCAGAAAAAGCCAGCCACTTGGCTGGTTCCCTACATGCTTCTCCTAGGCTCCTGGGTTCCTTATGTCTCTTAATTACAATACATGGTCCTCTCTCAGCATGACCCACCTGGAAAAGTAGTTCTCTGATAGATAGGCTATCGCTCAGGCCATACTGCATTGTGGGCCATGTGACTAATGTTTCCCTGCTCAGCCCAGTGTTCCAAATAGAACCAAAGTATGTACTTTGCCACTATAACCTTTCACTACATTGAACTAGGAATTGTCCAATAAATATATTACAAAAAGAATAGGAATTAAAAAATCCTGTAAGTCACATCTCCATCTCCTTGAGAATGCTGCGATAGGGATACTGCCAGGGCAGGGAAACACATACCTGGTTTTACTGTCACGTTCACATAGCCTTCCCCATGGCTATTTAGACCATCTACCATCACTCTGAATTCATACAGGCCTGGAGTGAGCTGCAGAGATGAGAGAAGATCTTTTATACAACCACAAAAAACAGTAATTATCTGAACTTTCCCAGGCTGAATCTCAATCTCTTCTTGCACTGCCTCCCAAAGGAAAAAAGTAATCTAGCTGAAGAGATGAAACAATGAATTACAAACTAAAAAACCACAGCATTTAATGTGAATCTTATTTGTAGCTGACTCTAGAAAAACAGAAGGGATTTCAGTATCTCCATACTCCCATTTTCATTTCAGAAGAACATTAAGGGCCTAACCATCCTACTTTACAGTTACGAAATTAAAACAATCATCTCTGCAAGGAAAAACATTTTGTAAAAATATGAAAGAGCTCCCAAATATCTGAATATTTTTCCCTCCAGATTTCCACTAACTGCAAAAAACATAAGAGGAAAAAACAATAAATTCACCCACAATCCCACTATCTTCACACATCAACTCATCATATTCCCCTAACTCCTTCCTATCCTTGACCACGTACAAAAAATAATTTTAAATAGTACATTCGTTCAATAAACATTTACTGAGAACCAGTTATGTACCCAGTTATTGTCCTAGGTTTGGGGTTTACAGATGAATAAGGTAAGATCCCTGCCTTAAAGAGCTCATATTTCAATGGCAATCAGGGTCTAGCTAAAATCAAGGTGTATATCAAACATTTTATTGTCCTTTCTTCCATTCGTTTAGCATGAACCCTTTCCCCCATTATATCATCTTTTTAATGGCTGCAAAATAGTACATAAATAAATATGCTACAGTTCACATAAGCATTCCACATTGCTGGATACTTGGGTTGTTCCCAAATTTTTACTATTATAAATAACGCTGTGATGAACATCTTTTAGGCAAATGGGGGTTTTTCCTTCTTCTGAATCATCTTCTTTATATAAATACTAATTGATCTCTCTACGGCATATGGTGTTTTTGACCATTTCCTTCTTCTTGTAATACTTTCCTTCCTTGGCTTTTACTTCTCTGCTCACTCATTTCCTTCAGTCTTCCTTCCATCCCTTCCATCCAGGGATTCCAACCTCAGTCCACTTATCTCTTCACTTTACATACTCCCCCTGATTGATCTTATCTACTCTACGGCTTCAGTTATCATCTATTTCAGGGTGGTGTACAAATTTATCTCTCTAGCCCAAAAGTGTCCCCTATCCCTAACCCTTTACCCTCAGCTACTTACTGAACAATCCATTCAAATGCCTCATAGCCCAAACTCACTCTGTCCAAAACTGAATTAATCATCATTCTCCCCAAACTTGCTTCTCTCTCTGTGCTCCTCACTTCAGTGAATATCACCACAATGTCAGCAACATCCGCTCAGATGCCTAAGCCAAAAGCTTTTCTGGAATTATCCTAGACTCCTCTTCTCCAACACTCTCCACCCAGTTAGTTGATCACCAAGTCTTATCAAGCTGACCTCCATGATATGTCTCAAAATTCACTCATTTCTCTACATTCACGCTGCTATTACCTTAGTTCTTAACCACTCATTACAGCATAGTTATTAAAACCATGGACTTCAGAGATAGAAATTCCAGTTCAAATCTACCATCTAATAGCTTTGTAAACTTTAGCTAAACCACTTTCTTTTTCCAATTTTTAGTTTCATCATTTGTAAAACAGATATTAATACCTACATCTTGGGATTTTACGAAGATCAAATAAAATAATCATGAAAAACAATTAGCACTGTGTCTGGCACATGGTATGAGTTCAATAGGTAGTTTTTAATTTTTATTTTATTCATTTAGTTTTTCAGGTTTTTTATTCAGTCTACCATCATCTCACACTAAGATTTTTCAACAGATTCCTCACTGGTTTCCCTATTTTGAACCTTATCTCCTTCAATGTGTACTCGGTGATCTTTCTAACCAAAAATATGAACATGCCATTCTCCCGCTGGAAACCTTTCAAAGGCTCTCTAGTCCCTCTACATAAGATTCAAAGCTCTTAATCTGGCAAACAAGGCTCTGCACGATTTGACCCCTGTATCTCTCCAATTTACTTGGAACCACTGCTCTTCCCACCCTTCAGGGTCAAGTCGTGCTGAACCACACATAATTCCCCTTCTTCCCACACTTTCTTTTTTTTGACGCAGATGGCACATTGCTTCCTCTGTTTGGAGTGCATTCCTTCCACCTTTTATCCAGTTAAGTTAGTCACCTTTCAGGACCCAGCTAGGCAAACTCTAAGAAATCTGCTCTAATTCCCTAGGGCTTCCATAACCCCCTGCACTGATTTAGTGTATCCCCTGTGATAACTACCTGCATCCTGTCAGTATCACCTACTAGACTCTTGTTCTCGATCATTAAGATTACAATTAATTCATTGGTAAATACACAGTGCCTGCCACATAACCAGGATACAATGAACAGTTGTTGAATGAATGAATGAATGAGATTGCTGAGCCAAAGAAAATGAACATTTTTATAGCTCTTACTAAACATACTTAATTCCAAAAGGACTGAGCCAATTTACAGTCATGTGACCACAAATAACCTAGCTTAGCTCCCAAATTCCAAAATCCTTAAGTTACCCTTAAAAGCTGTTTCGTATGTATTTTCAGCTATCACCACCATGCTGATAAAATCTCCTCACCATAAATGAAAATTTGAGAACTACACACTAACAAATATTGGATGTCAGCCAGTCAGACTTGTGAAGGATTCACTTTTGGAGGACTATTCCAGACTTAAGTATAGACAGAAAATTCTATGATATTATACATTTCAGAAAAGTGGCCAAAACCTCTCTCTCAGCCCTGCAAGTAAAAGGAGGCAGATTCACCTTGGATAATTTGAGGATCCGAGAATGTTTCCCTTCCATTTCTCCACTGTAGTCTTTAGGATGAGTAATCAGCTGCCACTTGTAGGTGTAGGTTTCTCCTAAAGAAGGGCAGTTAGAGAAATCATGAAAACACACACCTACACACAAAGAGGGCAGCCACACAGTCTGCCAATAACAAATCACTTCTAAATCTTGACAAGGCCTTAGCTTTTAAGATTTCACCCAAAAGCCTATAGGGAAACCAATTCATCTGCTGAAAAAAAGGGTAGATTCTGCTGATTCAGCTACAGTTAGGACTTCTTCCCCTCTCTCCCAGCAATGTTCATTCCTGCCCCATATCCAGCCTCTCTGGGGCCCATCCGCCCTAAAAAATATCAGGTTGCTCATGATGTGGCATCCCAGTGAAAATACATGCCCTACCAACTACTGTAGATGAACTCATTGGTAACAAAGGCCATTTTCTTGCAAAACTTCTTTTGCAACAAAGAACAGCAATGACTTCTAAATAACATGGTTCAAAAATAGCTTTTTACAGAGTGCTAACAATGCTTGTCTTACTGAGGTCATCACACCCTGGTGAGTTAAAAGAGCTACTTCATTCCTGCTGCGCTAAATAACACACTGCAGAAGATGGTAGGGAATGGCCCATTTAAAACAGGCCCCACTGAAATTAATTAAGATCAAATGAAGCATTAAATGGTCCTCATTTGTAGCCCAGACTATATGAGTGGGTAGGGCAAGGATAGAATTCTGTTGTCTAAATGGAATCCCTCCCCAGTAAAAATGGTCTTAATCTGGACCAAAATGCATTTCTGGCTAGGGAAGGGTGGTATTTGGCAGGAAGGTTTAGTTTAGGTTACTGCTCAAAAGTTAAAAAGAAAAAAAAAAAAAAAAGAGCAGTCATTTTTTCTTATTTCATGAGTTCAAATGTTAAAAGTTAGCACACAGAACCCAATTCCAAGATACCCTTCATCTCCAGACCAGATTTTATTTTATAAACCTGTGATATAAGATTATTACTCTTACCTCCTCCCTATCAAATACTAGTGTTGTTTTGGCCAGTTGTCGGCCCCAGGAAGTTCTCACAACTGTGTACATAGGAGTTGTGTTAGGCAAGGAGCAGGAAAGAAGCAGAAGTAGGACTGGTGCTAAGAGATGACATCGCTTCTAAATGTAGTTGGAAATTTTTCTCCACACAGAAAAGAGACTCACGCTAGTTTGGGAATTGATAATCTTATAATATCTAAGGCTAGCAAAACAAATTTCTTAAAAGGACAAAATTCCTAGAACAGAAAAGCTCAGGGATAAATTGTGCCTTATAGCCAGAAATATGCCCAAGGGTAGAACAATTGAGTATAGGTCTGTTAGACAAAATGCTGGTTTTAATGATTTAGGGTATGGTTTTCAAACCGAGCCTCCAAAACCCAGTGGGATCCTTAGAGGTGCTTCAGGGCTGCCACAGGGGATGAGGGGAAGAAGAGGAGGCAGAGTTGGTCCTGCCTCATCACCCCCAATCTTTGAAAGTTTGAAACTATCCATCTCATGTATTGATAAATGCTGAAAAACCTGGGGAAAGGGATGTGGAAAAGAATCTGTTTATGAACTGATGTGTTTTGGGATCCTGATCTACAAGATGGTATTAACTTATAGAAGTGTATATGCAAATATGGGTTAGAAAAGAAAAATTCAGTAGAGCCAAGCATATCGATTACAAAAGAATGAAAGTACTCGCAGGTCAAGTAGTCTCAAATAATGTCCTCCAAGAAGTTCTACCTCTGTCACCTACTAGTGGTTTGAACAGGATAAACAGGTTAAACTGAGTCTCTGCTTCTTCCTCTTTAAAATGGTTATAATTCAACCTAATAGATAAGATCTACATTTAATGACCATCAGCTATATGCTAGACACTGAAATAGGTGCTTTAGATATATTATCTCATTTTTCCCCTAAAATAACCTAATGAGGTAGGAATTATTATTCTAATTTTAGTAAAAAAGAAATGGAAGCTCAGAGAAGTTAAGTAATTTGCTTAAAATCACATAGCTAATGACTCGTTGAACTGGGATTTGAACTAAGGCTTGAAATTAAAGTCTATGATCTCAAACACTATACTATACTGCCTCTCTTTATCACATAAATATTTGTGCAGGTACATCCTAAATTCTACCCTCACAGGACTGTTGTAAAGAGTAAATGAGATAAGGTATGTGGATATCATTATAAATTAAAGCATTACTTAAATGTAGGAAATTTTTACCTTTGAGTGGTTCTTGGAGAACATATGCATTTAACTGAACTTCATTCTTAGGCAGCGTTATCTGGACACTCTCTCCAGCAGATACTACCAGTTCCTTTACAACTGAAAACAAAATAAATATACAAGAGATAAATTAGATCTAGACTGTCCCACTTCTCTCCTTCCTTTTGTGAACTCCTTTTACCTTCATTTCCTCATTACTTTGGACATTTTAGACCAGATAATTCTTTGTTGTGGAGGGGCTGTCCTGTGCATTGTAGAACGTTTAGCAGCATCCCTCGGCTCCACTCACTACGTATCAGTAGTACCCAATACCACCACCACAGTTTTAACAACCAAAAACATTTGCAGACATTGCTGAATGTCCACAGGGGTACAAGATCAGACACACACACATACCTCCCTCCCCTACTATGTAAATCTTATCCCCTCTGACAATAATTGTTCATTTGGTATGAGACATAGGAACTAGGGGAGCTTAAAGCAAACAGGTGGCTGGTCCTCCATATCTCAAAACTGGGAGGTGAGAAGGGCTTCCTAGATAAATACGAAACTTGAAATTCATCTATCTCTGCTTGGGAACGTCATACTCGGGGAGAAATGAGACCATTCTTTATGGAATCTTCAGGACATGGAAAAAGAACTCTCAAGTGATTTTCAAAAAGAAAGAAAGAAACCACTATACTCAGAATATAATGGACCAAAAAACGGCTATTCAATACAGTGCAACCCAAACCTGTCACAATTACACCAAAAACTACAGGCATTCTACTGGAACACAAAAATTACTCTGATGTCTCGGGATTGAAACCCTAAAATTTCATGTTCCACTAAAGGAGACTCTAGGAAATTAAATATGGGCAAAAATTCACTTTCACTGGCTTTGCTACACACCCTTGACTCTCTGAGGGAATAAAGATCAACTTAGTTTTCTCCTAAAAGAAATTAACCATTTCCTCCTAAAGCCTTAGAACAGCACCCATGAAGCATAGACTTGTTAAAGCAACACTGTGTATAAATTTCCTTCCTATGAGATGCTTTAAAAATAAAAATGCTGTCAAAATTGCAGAGTGACAAATATCTGACCTAAACCAGCCTTTCAGAAGGCAAATGGGTACATACATCCAATTCTTTCTTCCCAGTAGCTTCTGTCTGCTTGAGTCTTTGAACATTATTTAATTGAACCTTGTGCCTTTAAGTCTCAGACACAGTTCAATTGGTTCTGGGAAAATGAGCATCATAAATTTCCACAGGCTAGGGAAAAGACAGTCTATTTAACAAACGGTGCTGGCAAAACTGGATATCCATCTGCAAAAAAATGAAACAGGACCCATACCTCACACCGTATACAAAAACTAATTCAAAATGGATCAAACATCTGAATATAAAGCCTAAAACTATAAAGTTCATAGAAGAAAAAACAGGACCAACACTACAGGCCTTAATATACGGCATTAAAAGGATACAAACCATAACCATTAACACATACAGACCATAACCATCAACACACAAACCCCAAAAGATAAGCTAGATAACTGGGATCTTCTAAAAATCAAACACCTATGCTCTTCAAAAGACTCCACCAAAAGAGTAAAAAGAGAACCTATAGACTGGGTAAAAATTTTTGGACAGTACAAGTCAGAGAAAGGTCTAATCTCCATAATCTA